TTATGGAAACCCATTTGGAATAGAAAGAAACCCAGAATAAGATATAAATATTGAATTTAAGATTATAGTTATGGATGGTAAAGGTTTTATAGCAACTCGGATTGACTTGGATTTGGATTTTGTTAAAAGGGAGGTCATTATGAAATGATTTAGAATTTAATACTGAAATATAGTAAGAATATGTTTTCGGAATGATAGATTATTTTCTTCTTCCTTTTCTCTCTTCCTTTTTTTTCTTCTTCCCTTGTTTTTTCCTCTTGGTTTATTTATGTTCTTTTTCTTTTGTGTTATTTTTTTCTTTTGTTCCCTTGTATTTCTTTATGTTTTAAATATTAGAGATGGTATAATGAGAAAAGGATTGAAATGACTTCCGCTTCTGGATCGCGGTGCTCGCAGCTGTGCAAGGACACGGCTCTCCTTGCCAGCTGATTCTCTGCTGCTGGTAGACTCTTAATTGGGTTGAAAAACCGCCTTGGAGGGGCGGCTACCGCTGAGGAGGTCCTCATCGTCCTTGGGAGAGCGGCAGCTTCTTCCAGGGACCGAGATCGCTCCTTTGGGCCGACAGTGGAAAGAACGGCCAGTAAAATGGCCGTTCATCTAGCTGCTGCAACCAGAAGTCAAAAGAACATCTAAGTACAGGAACCACCGTGGTTGAGCTGGGTGAGACTTTTTTCCTCCCTCTCTTGGGTTTCTTTTTTTTTTTTGTGCCTATAAAGAGCACTTTTGAAATGATTTCCCTACTCTAAGAAGGCAGCATTTATGAGTGTGGGGAAAAGAAGCTTAAATGGACTGAATTAATTTAAAGTGTTTTTTTCCTTATTTTTATTTTTTTTCCCTTCACTTTGGGGTCTTGGAAAATTGTGTGAATATTGGACTTGAATGCTTCTTTTTTCTGTTTCCTGATCTTGTTTATGAGATTCCTGGTCTCTGGGAGAAGATTTTACATTGTACTGAGGACACCTTGTGGAAAAAGTTAAAATTGCAACTTTCTCTTTTGAGGAATTGGACTGACCTTGACTTTCAGATTATCATAAAAGGGAAAATACAAAGAAAATTAACAGCTGTACTGGTGGGGGTGGACACTGATTATATGTTCTCTGAACCCAGCCTCTACTAAATGATACAGACTGTTTTTGATTATCTTTGAAATGGAGCAACCCTTGGTTCAACTTGACTATAAACTTATACTGGAAAAACTTTATGAAGTTACTGATGAAATACGTTTGCAAATAAAAGAATTTACGATGGAAATAAAAAATAGAAATCCTGCTTTGAACTTACAAACTGACTCCCAGATTTTGTCTGAGCATTCTATGGACCAAGAAACAACAGAAGCGGAATTAACTAAAGGTAAAGAAGATTCCACTTTACTTCATACGCAGGCTGATGAGATCTCTGAGGAATTAAAAAGGACTGTAATTAAACCACTTACAACCCTAAAATTAACAGAAATGGACAGACAAGCCCAACAAACTGAGAACAATGCTAGCTTGGATAAACAACTATTAGCTATAAAATTGGATGTAATTGAGCCGGCCACTCAACAGTTTCAAACGTGGAGATTGGACTTTGTCAAACAACAAGGGATTATTTACAAAGGAGCTAGGTTTCTAAAACAGAAAAGAAGACGTCTCTGTTTGATTCAAAGGACACTACAAGACATAAAAATTGACTTGCTTATTGATATAGTGGCGTTGTTATGGAAACCTGTTTGGCATAAAAGGAAAGCTAGAATAAGATTTAAGAATGTGATTGAAGGTTTTATGTAATGATTTTAAAAGGCTTATTAGACATGGATTGATTTACGGCTTATGATAGTTAAATAAGATGTTAGATTGAATAAAAATTAATTAAAGGTCTGAAATTAATAATAAGGTGTTTGTCTATGTATTAATATATTTTGGATATAGTAACTTTGAGGAGGTTAAAGAAATGTGATATTGATATTGAGGGATTGGTTGTTAAATTATAAAGTATAATAGAAATAGAAAGGTATTTTTTCACTTTTTTGTTTTGTTCTTTGTTTTGTTCTTTGTTCTTTTTCTTTTCTGATATGAACTAATATACTTTTTTATATATACATTAGAACTGATAGTTACTTTGTAATGGAAGAAGAATAGGGAAATGATATTAATAAATGTTTATTGAATATGTTAAGGAAAAAGGTAATGGGGAGACTCCCGAAGAGTTAACTATGCACTTAGATTAGAAATATGGAATATAGTAATTGAAATAAGTAAACTTCATACAGGATCTGGATTTGTGGATCTATTTAGATGAAAGGTTATTGAGGATTGATAGGATTGATCTAGTTGTATTGAAATATATTAATTTGAATATAATATGTTATTAGAGGGAAAAGAGAGGGGTTTTTTAATGATTTAATCTGAATTTTATGAATATGACTTTGTTGTGTGGATAATTGATTGCCCTGCCACCACGTTGTTTCGTAAGCACTTGTCTGTAAAATGAAAAAACCAATAAAACTTGTTTAAAAAAAAAAAGAAAAGGATTGAAATAATGGAAGAGATGAAATTAATAATTGGAGAATTATTGAAAAAGAATACAATATACGAGAAATGTAAGAATCTAGTTATAGAAATAATATGTTTAAATAAGAGAAATTAGGGGCACCTAAATAGTAAATAAATATGTTAGTTTAAGTCTAAATATTTGAAAAATTAATAAAACGTAAAACAGGATCTTATGGGATAGATAATGAGTTTCTGTAAACTTTTATTGATTAATGGAAATTATATCTAGAGATATATTAATGAATGAATTTGAGAAATGTATTAATTTGATTATAATATCCTAAATACATAGAGAGGGAAATTTTAAGGAATATTGTGTGAGCTGTATATTTATAATGTTATTGTTTTTTAATTGACTACTCTATCTCCACGTTGGTTCTTAAGCCTTGTTGGTATAAAATGGAAAACTAATAAAAATTATTTTTAAAAAAAGGAAAAAAAATGGACCCAGGAAATTACAGACCTATCAGCCTGACCTCAATACCTGGGAAGATTTTGGAAAAGATAATCAAACAATGAATCAGCGAACACCTAGAGGCAAACAAAGTCATTACTAAAAGCCAACATGGGTTTGTTAAAAACAGATCATGCTAGAAAAAACTTATTGCATTCTTTGACTAAGTGACAAAATTAGTGGATCAGAGGAATGCTGTGGATATAATTTACTTGGACTTCAGTAAGGCATTTGATAAAGTAGATCACAACATAGTACTTTTTTTTATTGAAAATTTTTTAAAAGTTTTACAAAAAACAAGAAAAAACAACAACAAAAAATAAAACAACCCTCCCCCAAACCCTCCCAAACCACCCCCCTCCATCCCCCCCCCCCAGCTAGTACTTGATAAGATAGAAAAATGTGGGTTAGAAGGCATCACTACCAGATGGATCCGTAGCTGGCTGACCGGCCGTACTCAGCGTGTGGTCCTCAATGGAACTGCATCTACATGGAGGAAAGTGTGTAGTGGGGTGCCCCAGGGCTCTGTTCTGGGCCCAGTGCTCTTCAACCTCTTCATCAATGATTTGGACGAGGGGATAGATGGGGAAATCATCAATTTGCAGACGACACCAAGCTGGCAGGAATAGCCAACACTACAGAAGACAGGCTTAAGATACAGGATCTGGACAGACTTGAACACTGGGCGCTATCTAACAAAATGAAACTCAATGGTGAAAAAAGTAAGGTTCTACATTTAGGAAAGAAAAACTAAATGTACAGGTATAGTATAGGAGGTACCTTGCTCAGTAGTAGTAACTGTGAGACAGACCTCGGAGTCCTGGTGGACAATCATTTAAATATGAGCCAGCAGTATGCTGCAGCTGCCAAAAAGGCCAACACAGTGCTAGGCTGCATTAACAGAGGGATAGAATCAAGATCACGTGAAGTATTAATACTACTTTACAATGCCTTGGTAAGGCCACACTTGGAATATTGCATCCAGTTTTGATCACACAATGTAAAAAAGATGTTGAGACTCTAGAAAGAGTACAGAGAAGAGCAACAAAGATGATTAGAGGACTGGAGGCTAAAGCATATAAGGAACGGCTGCTGGAATTGGGTATGTCTAGTTTAATGAAGAGAAGGACGAGGGAGGACATGATAGCAGTGTTCCAGTATCTCAGGGGCTACCACAAAGAAGAGGGAGTCAAACTATTTTCCAAGGCACCTGAAGGCAGGACAAGAAGCAATGGATGGAAACTAATCAAAGAGAGAAGCAACCTAGAACTAAGGAGAAACTTCCTGATAGTAAGAACAATTAACCAGTGAAACAACTTGCCTCCAGAGGTGGTGAATGCTCCAATACTGGAAGTTTTTAAGAAGAGACTGGACGGCCATATGTCTGAAATGGTATAGGGTTTCCTGCCTGAGCAGGGGGTTGGACCAGATGACCTCCAAGGTCCCTTCCAACTTTTATTATTATTATTATTATTATTAACATGTTGATGGTTGCAAGAATCCTATATAGTCAGAAATAGAAAGAAATATTAACTCCCACAGTGGCGGAATGGATTGAGATTACGATGAAGCTGGTGGAAATTGTGAAGCTGACTGCATTAATGAGAGACAAGAATGTAAACAGTTTAGTGATTGTTTGGAAACTGCTCCTGGACTTTCTGTGTGAAGGGGGGGGGGAATGAAAATTTGACTTTGGGTTTTGACAATTAGATGGGTTACTGCTATAGAAATGGTTAGTAGATACTATTGATATAACAAAAAGTTGATACTTTTATTATGTATGAATTTATTATGTATTTATGCATTTATTGAAAAAAGTTACTGCTTTTTGTTTCTTTAATTTCTTTTACTCCCTTCCCTCACTCTGTTTCTGCTATTTCCTTTCCTTTTCCTTTTTTCCATGAATTTTATTTCTGTTTGTGTTTTATATTAAGAACAAAAACTTTTAATAAAATATATATTAAAAGAAATTAATAACCATGAATTGTATAATTCAAATGCAGCATGTGGAAGGACAGTATCACCATTCTTTGCATAAGCAGAATGAGGACTCTATACATGCAACAGATAAACTTTCACACATTAGCACAAACCATAAGGATATTCACACAATGGGTTTAATATGCATCAATGATCACACTTTATTCAACTCCTCCCCTTTTTTCAGTCAGCATGGTCCAATGAATATTCAAATCTTCATCCAGGCTGTGTTCATAGATACATTCCACTCAACCTAAACAAAATTGCACACATTATTGGTCCAGTTGGTAGGCTGAGAAAATTCAAAAAAGAAATTGTTGGAAGATCTGTTGGGCATCTGGGAGAGCGGAAAGTACTTTTAGTGACTAGATTATCTATAGAAAGAATAAGGGCAATAAACTAACTGGACTGGATCAATTTTCAGAAGACTTTGAAAATTATGGGAAGTGAAATTCACATATTATGAAGGGCTATGGGTAGAATCTAGTGTGATAAACATCCTTGGTGTAATTTAGGCACAGAATTCAAACTATCAAAAGTTGTGCTTTTCTCTATTTCAATAAATTTTATTTTTCTGCTCTATTGAAACAGAATGAGGACTGGGCCTATGAAAAAAGCCCATTCGTCTCAAGCATTCCTTGATCCAAAACTAGCTGATTAAAGCTTGGTCAGTTGTGGGCTGAACTTATGGCTCCCACTTATTGAGAGTTGCTGTAATAATCAAAGTATCAAACTAGAATTGGGCTTTAAATTTTGTTTCTGGATTATCTTGTTCTACTCTATATATTTCAATGAAGGACCTAATAATTCTCAAAGTTATATAACTTTAGGTTGACATAACTTCAGACAGATCATTCAGCACTGATTTAAAAGATGAACTCAAATACACACTTCTCCATTCAGCAGCCAAAGTTTAATAGGAGACACAGCAAAAGGATGTTCCAGTCAGCAGTCTTCCATTCTCTTGAAGTCCAATAGTTTTTTTGCTTTCAACTTAAACCATGCAACTTGATTTCTGAGCCTCCACTTAAAAATAGAGCAATTATTTTCTGCAGTTCCTATACTGGCCATGTTAAGATGCCAATGACTAGATTGTGAGATGTTCCACAATTGCTTTCATGATGTTGCTTGTTTTAACTAATTTCTGAAGGGATGTTCCTTGTGGGAGATAATAAAGGATAACCACTTATATTATCCCCTTAAGACATCTTGCTAAGATGACCTGTAACCCACCAAATGTAACTGAATACCCTTACCAACATTCCTCTCCTTCATTTGTGCTGATTGGAGGCTCTGGGAATTGCATTTAACAACAGGAGGCTATACATTTTACAAATTAATCCCAATATCTTCTTGCAAAATTCTGCAATGTACATTCCAAGTAGATGTATGTACAAGGCTGTTAAGCAAGATAAGATAGATGACTGGAAGATACATGACTGGAACTTTCTATCATCTGCACACTTACTATTACTCTCTTCATTCTTTGTTTATTCATGTGTTGATCATGTCTGATCCTGTGCCTAGAAATAAGAAAATCTGGTAAATGTGGCCAAGGAATGTAGTCTTAATTCTTCACTTAGATCCTTCATTGAAGACTTCATGCTTAATGATTTGGACAGGGCTCACTTAGGTCCTCCATTGAAGACTTCATGCTTAATGATTTGGACAGGGCTACGCTGAATGGAAATATCACCAAAAATGGATGAGGTTACACAATCCATGTAGGACTGGGATTTTCCTGGTTCTGAAGGAATGAATGAATGGATTCCTGGTATTTTAAACTTTTGATTGGCTGAATTGAAGTTTAATGATTATCTGAAGAAGTTCTGTGATATTAGGATTCCTGGAACAGCCCTTTCCAATCAGATGCCACCCAGATGTGTGGAATCTCACTTATAACAAAGTGATGAAGGTAATGACTGGAGATGAAGAGTATTGTATTCTAAAATTAACTGGATAGAACCAGATTGAGAAAACTAGTCACTGACTTTACTTTGTCATTTACATTTCTGATAAATATAGTGAATAAAAATATAATAGGCTAAGTATTATTTAGTGTTAAATGCTTCAGTGTTACATAGCTTAAACAGAGTTTTCCTCTCTTAGATCTAGGTTCTGCACAGGGAGAAATGGCCTCTTTTGGCAACTTGCTAATAAATTATTGTGTGGGCCTTTGTACCATTGCAGAAACAGGTACAATAAATCATCGCTAATCTAAGTTCCGCAACTTCATACAGGTCAAAGTGTTCCTTCACAGCCCAAGGCATGGGGTGGTGCCTCAACTTCCTCCACACAATTCTTGAAAGGAATGTAGTAGTGAACTCATACTCCTCTCCGCCCTGGCCGAGTCAAGAGTTGGGTCCTAGATTTCACCGTTTATCCACCCCTTCACTCTGAACGCCTTCCAGAATGAGTCCGAACATCTCCTCTCTGAAACTCCCGGTCTGCAAGCTGGTTTCGACTTAACGTTTTTGGTCCCACGCCTCTGAACTTTACATCCACTTAAAAAGGACCAGATTTTTATCCACCTCCCATCTTACCTCGACATTTCTTGCACATCCCAGAAGGCTCACTGATTTCCTGCATGTCAGAACTCCGTTTCTACGACTATATGTGGCCCCAGATACTGTACAGTAAAGAACTTGGAGATTCCGCCAGCTAAAGTGAACGCGCCTCTGTCTAGAAAGTCAGAAGTTGCGTTCAACCCAACTTGGTTAGCTACTTTTTTGCCTTATCTTTTGCCTTTGCCGTGGCTAATTTGTAACACAATTTGTCATGGGGATCCAGCAACTTGGGTTAATTCGACTGAAACAAGGGTTCTATCCGGATGTGTCGTGTAAAAACGCCGTAGAGACGCCACGTGGGCGCCTCTGCGTCTGGTTTACGATGGGCTGCTCCCTAGTTCAGGAGCTCTTACGCAGACCGCATGTTTTGCTAAGAATCGGAATGCCAAAACTTCAAGATGAAAGTGTTGCGCTGTATAACTACGTCCATTCTGATTTCATCATCTCAGGCATAAACTTCTCCAACTTAGACTCTTCCATACCTCCCACTAAACGATTGGAGCTTCGCGTTCATCACAGAGAGGCAGCATCTTGGGCAGCGTCCTGGGTGCGCGTTGAGCTCAGCGCCCCCTCCCCCTGCTCCCAACTGGTCCACCTCAGGGCGGGGAAGGAGCACTCGCCCGGACGAGCTTGTTCCGGACGTGGGACCTCCCCGTAGCGGCTCCCGCTGGCCAAATAGGGAAGCGGACAGTCAGCAATCGCCGAGCTTCGCTCCTTAGAGGGCCCACCCTGGATCTCTCAGCCATATTTTGGGGGATTCGGAGGATGACTGCTGCGACTGAACGGGTAGGCTTTTGAGTGCATTGGTCCGATTCCCTCCCTATAAGGAAGCGAACAACTTTTGCTAAGCAGGATGAATCCCAGCGAAGGTGCGGCGCCACTGGAGAAATACAAGCTGGTGGTGGTCGGTGGAGGCGGCGTGGGCAAGAGCGCCCTAACCATTCAATTCATCCAGGTAACTCGGAAAAGGCGCAGAAGGGTTAGGGTTGGGTTGGGTAGGGCGGATGGCTCAGGGCTAAACAAACTTTATAGGTATGTTTTCGTGCTGAGTGGAAAAATGAAAGTTACCGCAGGACTTTGTCTATTGCTGTAAATGTGTTTATAAGTTCTATTGAAATGACTGGAACTTTTCCAACTTAAATGTGCATAGGTTTATGATCTTTTTAAGCAACTCTGGCTGCCAGCTTTGCCTCCTTAGGAATAAATACCTCAGAAAACATGACACTAACATATACTTTTTTAAAGCTGACTGCCTCTAGTCTGGTGCCCTTCAGATGCCTGCAGCTATAATTCCATCATTTTGAGGTATTGTGAGAGTGATGCAATTTCTCATCCAGGTTGAGAATAGCTCATCTCCATTTTGCTCATTCTTTTCACCTTCAAAAGGCGGAAGCTGCATTTGGAAAAAGAAAGATTACATTAATGAAAAGCAAGGGATGTAAAAGGAGTCTGAATCAGCTCTGTGGTGCTTGCGTTCCAACATTCAGCATTGCAGAGAAGCAAATTATGTGTATTTGGAGATACGTAAAATGGTTGAAGGCAGTATTTTCTTTTCATTATAGTTTTCTGACATTTTAGGTACCCTGCCTATGATTTAACAATTAATAAAAACTTAGATGAATTTGAATAGCTAGTTGGGATCAGATCTGGTTAGACCTTGGGCAAGAGACTATCCCAGGATTATAAATGGGATGGAGAAATGGAACATTTTAGAACTCAGAGGACATTATCTTTGTCTATTACATGGTAGCCAGTGATCGCCCTCTGTTATCACCATCGTTAGGATGCTTCTGTGCTGCCTTTATATTTGGTTATCTCAAAATGACAAAAATAGCTACAGTAATATTCCTGCCTCCTATTTTCCCCACAACAACAACCCTGTGGGGTAGGTTGACCTGAAAGAGACCAACTATCCCAAAGTCACCCAGCTGGCTTTCATGCCTCACAGGCTCCTGATTTCCAGACCAGCAGACTGACCATTACACCAGACTGGCCCTTCATCTGAAGCAGTGCTTTTCAATAATGGCAACTTTTAGATGAGTGGACATTAATTCCCAGAATTCCTCAATAGCATGCATGGAGTTTATAGGAGATGGTTGAGTAAAAGCTTGTGCCAGAGATTTGAAATTTGAAAACGGATTTCCAGGTCCTTCTGTCATCCTTGAAACCCTTTCTTCTTCTTTCCTTCCTTTGTTTCAGTCTTACTTTGTTTCTGATTATGACCCCACAATTGAGGACTCCTACACCAAAATCTGCAATATTGATGGTACCTCAACCCGGCTGGACAGTAAGTATCAGTGGACTCTCATTCTAGAGAGATCTTGCGTGTGCTTTGCACAAATGAATGTACATAGTGTGTATAGTCCTCACATTACGACACAATTGAGCCCAACATTTATCTTGCCAAGTGAAAATTTGTTAAGTGAATTTTGCCTCATATTATAACCTTTCTTTCCACAGGTCTTAAGTGAATCACTGTAGTTGTTAAATTAGTAACAGGGTTAAATGAATCTAATTTCCCCATTGATTTTGCTTGTCAAAAGGTCATAAAAGGTGATCACATGACCCCGGGATACTGCAACCATCATAAGTATGAACCAGTTGCAAAGTATCTGATTTTTGATCACGTGACCATGGGGATGCTATGACATTCATAGATGTGAAAAATGGTCATAAATTACTTTTTTCAGTGCTGCTGTAACTAAATGAATTGTTATAAATCAAGGACTACCTGTATGCAGGGGTAATGGAGAAATTGGGGTCAGAGGGGTCTTTACATGTTATTAATGTATGTTTCATCCTTAGTACCTAAGGATGAAACATACAATAATAACATGTAAATGTGGGTTCCTTCGTGACTGCAATTCTCAAATTTTAATCTTTCCTTGCCATAGATGAAAATAAGGCAGGAATGAGGGAAAGGGAGGCTAATAGAATGGACTCCAGCAAATAAACTGAGAGATAAGGATTCATTGCATGTCAGTGTTTTTCATTTGGTGTCTTCTAGATTTGCTGAGCTATAATTTCTGCTATTCCCAGTCAGCAATGGTTTGTTGGCCATATTGATTGGTTATTTGTCCAAGACATTTGAGGGGTATCAGTCTGGAGAAGACCGAAGTGAACAAATGAGTATTTGGAACCAGATGCTATGAAACTGAGCCTTTTATTAAAATCAAACCTGTTTGCAGAATTTTTACTGCTACAAACTTACAACAAATTATTCTTGAATTTGTCATCCAATTGAAAGCAAAGTTTATCTATGTGGATTTATTATTGGGGGGACTTATTGGTTGTAGGAGACCATAAAATAAATAAGAAAACTGTGTGTTTTATCAAGTGGCAATGAAGGGTCTGTACCTGAGTTGGTAATGAGGGTTGATGTCTGGAGGACACAGTGACTGTAGCCTGCTTATATTTTCTTTTTTTCTTTTCTTTTCTTTAAAAAAACCTTTCTTTGTTTAAAACTTACAACAAAAACTGTATGTTGACAATGGGGGGAACATAGCACTTTTTAGATACTGGAACTTCAGTTGAATCTGTTGCTGAAACGTGACTTGAGCACCTCCCAACAAAATATTTTCCTTACAGGTGACAGGCATCTGTAAAGAAAGCCAGAGAATTATTCTTTTAATGTACTGTGGTCCACTGTAAGTACCAACATTTTCCAAAATATCAGAAGAATGTTGGTCCATTCCTATGAAGTGGAGACTCATGAAATGCTACCGCCGAAGGAAGTGATTGTGTCAGAAAGCTTTTTACCGAAGGATGCCATCACATCTGAAACTGACTGTGTCATTGTGACTAAGATGGGAACAGGCAACCTGGTGTTCTGTGTACATTTTAATGTATTGTTCTCTTGGCTGCCTTGTCTGAATCTTGTGAAGTTTGTAGTTCAGGGCAGCTGGAGGGCCCCTGGTTCCATCCCACACTAAACTCCCTCATCTCTTTTTCTACATGTTTCATACTCAGTATTGATTGGGATCTAATCTATTTTCTTTCCTTCTCCATTTTCACCTATCAGTTCTGGACACTGCTGGTCAAGAAGAGTTTGGAGCTATGCGGGAACAATACATGCGCACAGGAGAAGGTTTCCTCCTTGTTTATGCTGTCAATGATCGGGGCAGGTGAGATCAAAGCTGAAGCATTTACATGGCATGAAAACCTTTTCTTCTTTAGGGCTAAGGTGTGTGTGCCATTGGTGGGTGGGGTTTTAATTAAAGATATTTGAGGTTATGATTTTCTCATTTTATGTCTCTTCCTTGTTTGCTCAGTGTTTTTACCAAAAGTGCAAAAAAGATCGTTCATCTGTAGCTTATGGTGTGCAGATTGTTCAGCCTAATGGGCTAGAGAAAGGCAGGCTGAGATGTAAAAGCTTCAATAGTGTTTCCTGGCGTTGCCTTCCTCTATTAGGTGCTTAAAAATTGGCAGTGCTGGGGTTATTTGGGGAAAAATATCTTTGGTAGTTTAAATTGCAATTAGGTCATGTTTATACTTCCAGAAGCTGCCATTAAAGCAATTACAAAAAAAATAGTGCTAGACCCAATAAGCTTTAAAGTGACTGGCCAGTGCATTATGCTAAGCCAGAATGTAATTTCTTTGGTTTAGGATATTGTGTGAGTTCAGTATATTCATGCATTTTATATAGTTAAAATAAAGGTTTAGAAAGCCATTGTTGCTAAATTGCTGCATGAATAATATATAAATTTTAAAATGACCAGGATGCTCAAATAGATCTTTTATGAGGAAAGCACATGGTATTTGTTAGAATTTTTCCCAGAGAGTCTTCTGAAATGTAGGAGAAACTTATAGTGGTCTTGATATTGGTGTAGTTATTTTTTTCTTCTTCTTTTAGAAGCAAAGAGAGGAATTCATTAGAAAAATAATAATAGTACATCTGGGAAAAAACACATTAAGAGAAATCCTTCTTTGTCTTACTCCCATTTATTTGTCATAGTTTCAATGAAATCCACAAATTCCACACTCAGATACTTCGAGTGAAAGACCGTGATGAGTTCCCTATGGTCCTTGTTGGCAATAAAACTGATCTGGACCTTTATCGACAGGTGAGTGGAGGGGGTTCACTAATCTCCACATATTAGTGGTAATTTAGGGCTTTAATTATAAATGTAACCTAATGGGTTTGGTCTATCTATCAAATCCATCAGTTTATAAGCAATACAATATAGGCAATCTAGTTGATCCCACTTGGCCATTGATTCTCAAGTTCGTAAGGCATATTACTCATTATTCCTCATCCTGTACTTCAGGGAAGAGAACCACCCATTAGATAGTTGCAGGCTTAATTATCTAGTTCAGCGGTTCTCAACGTTTGTGTGACAGCAACCCCCGTCACACGGACGCGACGCGCATGCGCGGCACCGCCCCCTGAGGGGGAAAAATGGCGGATCGCGTTGTTTGGCGACCCCCGTAAAATGGTCGTTCGACCCCAAATGGGGTCGCGACCCATAGGTTGAGAACCGCTGATCTAGTTGGTCATGAATTTACAGTAGGGTTACTTACAATTTATTTCCCACACAAAGAAATTCCTGTGAATACCATTGCACCCAGTATCAATTTAAGGCCATTGAGCCGGTCATCATTTTTTGTAGTTTTGACTGCCTTAGCCTATTACATATTGCAATAAAATACACACATACTCTTATCTTATTCTCCTTGATTAAGCAGGGATTGCTGTTACGACCTTGATGTAGACCTTTGAGAATTTGGGCTTCCTAATCAATGAAAACAAGAGCACCCTTCTTGCATTACCAAAGTATATTGGCACCAGAGAGACCTTATTTTCCTTCCAAAGGAGAGACAGGAGACCATCCAGGCATTAGTTGTATCAGTTGTTCAACCAGGCACCCAAGCCTTATGATTCTCATCAATCTCCAGACCAGAGGATTGCCTGGATAATATTAATATCTGAGGCATGTTTTCACTTCAGACTCCACCAATAGATGTGTCTCTTCCCTTCCAGGAAAATAATAGTTCAATCTCCAAAATCCTGGCACTCCTAGAAAAAATAAGGAGCTTCAGTTTAGTGTAACGTTTGAACTAACCTGTTGGCTGTTTTTTTTCCTTTTACATATATTGTGATCAGATGTTGGGTCGATTTGATTATTAGACAGATAGATTTCCACATCTGAGATGTTTGTTATTTAATACTGAATTTTTGTTACAACTATTTGTAAATCTGTTACATAAGGGGAGGAGAACATGCTAGGTATATTTATTTTTTATCATCCAGCCAGGATGGATTCTTTATGTTAAATGTTAGATCTATTTGACATTTGGCATTTTTTTTCTTTTTCTTTTTTTTTGTACACAAGTGTTTTTTTTCTTTTCATTGTTAGTGTTGGATGTTCTTTTGTATTTTATTTTTATTGACAAAAGAAAATAAGTATATTAAAAAAGAAAGAAAATGTGAGGAGCTCCCTCAAGTGGTGATTCCTGAAAGCCTTATTTAAAAGTATGGAGAGATATATACGGATCTCTCATTTAGTCAAACTCATCATATACACCAGCCTGAAGAAATGAAGTGCATACTTTAGAACAGGGCTTTTCAACCTTTTCACCCATTGTACCACTTTTAGGATATGGCAATATCCAATTACCACCAGTCGCCTAGCAAGTTGTCAAAAACTTGATGACCAAAAAAATTTTAAAAAAGTGATAAAGTACAGGTAGTCCTCGACTTACAACAGTTCACTTAGTGCCTGTTTGAAGTTACAATGGCACTGAAAAAAGTGCCCCCCAAGCCACAGCCGAGCAAGACACCTGCCTGCCAACCCAGCGGCGCTCTTCCTCCTGCCTGAGGTTTTCATTGTTTTGAGCATTTCTGTTGAGGATTGGCAGCGAGGGTGGGGTGGGGGGTGTTTGGTTTTTATTCCCCCCCCCCGGTCTGCTGGGTGGTTGCAGCAGGTTTTGGTCACTTCACATGACACTGGGATACTGTGACCATCATAAATATGAATCAGTTGCCAAGCATCTGAATGTAAATCACAAGACCCTGAAGATGCTGTAATATTCCAGCTGATTGGTGCTTCTTCTGGGCTCAGCAGAAGCACCAGGATCAGCGCCAAGCTCCAGCTGGAGCCTGGCGTTGATCCTGGCGCTTCCACTGAGCCCTGACAGCCCCGAAGAAGGGCTGATCCTGGCGCTTCTGCTGAGCCCTGATAGCCCTGGAGCTCCAGCCATCTCTCACTCAGGCTTGTGCAGTGCTGCCACTGGTTCAGCTCATTCCCCTCCCCCTCTACCACTTTTCTAGGATGGTCGTGTACCAACTGCCAGGTGCCAATGTATCACAGATGGCACCCATACCACTGGTTGAAAAGCCCTGCTCTAGAGTAGGGGTCCTCAACCTTGGCAACTTTAAGACTTGTGGACTTCAACTCCCAGAATTCCTCAGCCAGCAAAGCTGCTCTAGAGTAGCCTAGAGGGAAGATATTCAAGGCTAGCATATGTTTCTGGTTATGACAAGCAATATGACTAGCTCGGATTTCAATCTCTTCCAAAAGGCAGCATATCCTGCTAATATTATTTGTTAAATTTATTTGCTGCCTGTCTCGCCATGAGGCTACTCTAGGTAGCTTACAATAATTAAAAACAGAGAAGTGAAAAGAAGGGTAAAACGGTAGTAAAGTGATGGGACAATAGCATAAGAAAAAAAAAAGAAAACAGTGAGGATATAGTGAGAATAAAAAATGGTCAGGTGGGAAAGCAGGGACCGAGGGAGAAAGTGAGGTTTGCTATCAATCTAGTAGCCTTCTCCCCCATTGGGCCCCAGGCCAACCAGCAGGGCCAAGTCTTCAGGCTCTTATGGAATGATAGGAAGAAGGAGGCAGATCTCACCTTGGGGGGGGGGAAGGATGTTCCAAAGAGAGGGGGGATGCAATAGCAGAGAAGGTTCTTCTTCTCTATCCCAATAGTTGGAGTTCTTTGACCAACGGGGTCGTTTCAAACCCAGAGTATTCATGCACAATCTTTGGTCTTTAAGAGGGCAGCAGTGGACCTCCTCACAATTCCTTTCATGATTCTGAACCCAAGGAACAGAAGTATCTAATGTTGTCAGTGTCTTGTCCCAAAAACATATTACTCTATATAGTGTCCATTAGTCTCCAGGATTACATATTACTCTATATAGTGTCCATTAGTCTCCAGGATTCTGAAGCCTGCAAGAGTGGAGCTTATACTGACAGTTCTGAAATTGCCTAAGAGAATCTGGTACTTGGACCTAGTCAGCCTGTTGACATCCTGATTATGGAGCCTCCTGCCATTATCAAATCCTTCACTTCTCAAGTCATATATTTATCCACATTGGATAGACAGAATTGTCTCAGTTAAGTGCCAAAATTACAAGAGAATGAGAAAAAAACATCTTGATTTAGAGAAAGAAGCATTTAGAAAAATAGGGTGACAAAAAGGCATAATGGATCCCTCTATCTCTCCCCACACCCATTTCTTCTTTTGTTTCTCATCTTTACATTTGGTAAAGATGTAAAGAAGATTTAGCTAAAGAAATAAGGAACTAGAACCATGCAGTTGATGATGATTACACCTAGTTTGATTAAACTCTGAGGTTGACTTGAGTTATTGCTTGACAAAAATTCATACTATAGTAGATAATCGTTTTTTCTTCCTTATCCTGCTGTATCTCATGTACTTCTGTATTAAAGTCTTAAATATCCTTATTGGCAGGTAACTGAAGAGGAGGCCCTTTACTTTGCTCGGGAAAACCGAATCCCCTACATGGAAGCCTCTGCAAAGGTCCGATTCAATGTGGATGAGTCTTTCCAAGAGTTAGTCCGAGCCATCAGGTAACAGGGAGGCAGTTGGGGTTGAAGCCAATGCTGCAAAAGAACTGAAACTTCCCCAAACTGAAGAAAACTCTTTTTCTAGGACAACATCCCTCATAAAGGCTTTTTCTGATTAAATATTTGCTGGTTACTTTCTTTCTTTAGGAAGTTTAAATTCTGACATTCTGTTCACATTGTTTTCAAGGTAGTTGACAGTAATTAATTTTTTTTTAAAAAAAAGTCAGTGCAATTAAAATCAAGTCAAAATTACAACTGATACTTCTAAAACAAAATCAATAATCAGTCAGAAACTGGATGAAACAGATGGGTTTTCAATCTCCTCTTCAAACCTGGGGAAGCTGAGATGAAGCATAAATTCTTGGGAAATGGATTCCATAGACTGGGGTTAACAAAGAAAAAGAGTTTTCTTTCCCCCTTTTAAAAATATTCTCTTACTCTTTCCATGTCTCTCACTGTCCATTTAGCAGCCAGAAAGAGATTGATTGGAACAGAAACCTGGTTTGTTTGCTTGATGCTTGCTTGCTTATAAGGGCTTTTGAAATGTCAGGTTGAAAACCAACATTAAATTAATCTCACTATTAAGTGACCTGATACATGTACGATTTCCAATATTAGCTATTCAATATAGTTTTATAGATTCAGATGGTGATCCATCAACTTTCTTGCGTGATGCAGCTTTCTGTCTGAAAATTTGTATTTCTGACTGTGGCCTCATTTCAGTTGCAGCTAGGCAACTATGTCCAAAATCCCACTTTGGGTCTACAACAGTGATGACGAACCTATGGCACGTATGCCAGAGGCAGCACTCAGAGCCCTTTCTGTGGGCATTCGTGCTGTCACCCCAGCCCCGCCTCTCCCTGTGGCCCCCTCCTCACCAGCAGCCCCCCCGGAGGAGAGTCGCCCCTGGGCGCGGCCCATGTGAAGCAGTGCAGCACAGCCAAGGACATGGCAGCCGGGTAGTGGGGACAAGACTCCGCCCTCATGTTCCATTGTGTGCAGATGATGCTGTGGGGGATGGGCGGAGGGTGTGGCCGCCATGGCGCTGCAGGGCCGCCTCGGTGATCTGCAGTGGGCCGTGGAGGCGGTGGGTGGCCCTGTGGGTGGGGGGCAGAGCAGAGGGTGGAGCAGGGGCAGGTATGGGCGGGAGTGTTTTGGGGCACTTGGTCTCTAAAAGGTTTGCCATCACTGGTCTAGGAAGTGGGTATGGCTACTCAGTAAAGATTCCAAAACAAGGAAGAAGATGGTGTTTGAAGGTCAAAACACTAAGGGTTGTATTGACGAGGGTGAACACTAGAGATTTCTGCAATGAAACCTGAAAGCATGTAGGGTCTTATTACAGGTTGTTCTCGATTTATGACTGGTCAGTTAGTGGTTGTTTAGAGTTACAGCAGACCAAAAACAAGGTACTTATATTCTGATTTGAAGCTACCTTCACCTGGATTCATGTGATTGTATTTTAAAGTTTGGCAACTGGCGTGCATTTATGGCCATTTGCAGTCCCATAGTCATGTGACTATTAGTTCCATTTTTTGCTAGCAACTGGCATTTTCAGTTTCCAGCAAAAGACACTCATTGTGAACTATAAATTCACTTAACAACCATTGCATTCACTTAATGATAGACTTGTTTAACAACCATGGTAATTTGCTTAACGACTATTGCAAAAAAGTCATAAAATTGAATTGGTCATGTGATGACCAGCATGACTTATGACCTTAATTACAGGCTGAACTGCAGTCGTAAATCAAGGCCTACCTGTATTTAGAATTGTATCATTCAGCATGAATTGTTGAGGAGTCTCGCCTACCATTTCTGGAGATGAACTCTAGCTTAGAAGCTGAAAATTTGGACTTTCCCTCTGGCCTGTAATAAAGGGCCATCCAGAGTAATGAGTGGGGTGAGAGTGATCTTGGTTGTATTCCAGCCAGCACTTTCCTGGAACCTCACCCAGTGTAGTCCAAAGAATAGTCGTCATCTGTTGGACACCCAAAACATTAGTACACTGTTTCCGACTATATGGTCTCCTGGGTAGTAGCAGTTGGCCTCCTCCAGGGATATAAATAATATTTTTTCAAGTGGTGCTTATCTTATGTAAGAACATTTCCACAAAGTAATGTGATACAGCATGTACTATTTAATGTCTTGCTTCCTTTGTTCACTCCATATTTTTTTCCCTTTTTATGGCAGGAGGTTTCATGAATCAGAGTCTCCCCCTGCCCCAGCCTTTCACCCCAAAAAGAAGGAACGCAAAAGCTGTCCTTGTTCCATTCTGTAAACTGACACCCCATATCAAGCCACGCAGCCTGGAAGAGGAGGAGGAGCTGCTCAGATTCCTTCCAACCAAGAAGACAGAGCAGGATTTTCCTTCTTCCATCTCTCCGACTACAATCAGGGCTGGCACTGTGTATTTTTTAGTTATGCCAAAATATTACCATTTTTCTCTTGTTGCACAGGAGTCTGTAAACTGAGAACAAAGCAGGGACTAGACAAGTTCTTCTCCTCCAACATATCCTGAATCTATGGGACATGCATTCAATTTTGTTTGCTACTTTGCCCTCCATTGTTCTTCCATGGAAATCACATTAAAGATGCCCCTTTTTCCCAAGGGGCAGAAAAGTTATTCATTTAGATAAAAGGGGCACAGGATTGTAGATTTCACTGACAGTTCACTGATACAATAAGTTAATGAATAGGAATCAACTGCAAAGGGTCATTTATTTCACTGCAGCTAAGGGCAAGCTTTTGCACATACATAGATATCTACATGTTCAAAGATATGGTACAAATGCATTTTAAAAGGTACTATATTTTTTTTTATTTTTTATATATATATATATCATAGCTTACAGATGTAAGCCACACATGGGCCAAACTGCAAGGGAAGCAGCTGCAAACAGAATTACACTGTCCTGCAAGTTGCCAATATTGACTATTTTGTTCCTAGAGCAGGGCTAAAAAGAAGCACACTTTATAGCAGCATTTTTTAAACTTAACTTTAAGATGTTTAGACTTCAATTTCCAGAATGTGTGGATCTCAGCTCCTAGAATTAATCAGCAAGAAGTCCCAAACCAGCAGCTGAAGTCTTCAAGTTGCCAAGTATGAAAACAATGCTTTACAATAAGGAGATTTGCAATATTGGGGGGGAACAGGGTGAAGCTAGCCAACTCTTGATATTTTAGGAGAAGATTGTTGCCATATTGTAAACGTCACCTGGTCACAAAGCAGTTACTATGAGAGGTATGGTCAACTATAAAATAAAGCGTACAGTAGTTTTATTAAAGCAACCAGTTTGTTGCAGTGAAATGGTCACTGAGCAAAATGATGACTAAATGAACTATGTGACATAGAGAAATGCTGCAAAGATCACTGGTTGCTGCCATCTCATTCAGAAAATGTTATCTTGTATAGCACTGCAAGCATTACTCTCCAGTATGCATTGTTGTCAGTGCAGAAATTTGGTCATATGTATGTACATTGGTCAGAAAATGGGTTTTTTTTTTTATTACTGACTACTACTACTTGCCATATTTGTGAGCAGTCATTAACTGCAGTAGCTACTAAACAAGAACTGGCTGTTTCCATCAGGTCAATAAATGGTGATGCTCCCTGCAGAGCTATTTTACTATAGTAGGTTCTCGAACATTCTGCCACCCTAGCTTACGTTTTAAGAAGGCGAAGGTTCGAAATCTTAAATGCATGCTAGAATCAAGTTTCACTGCCAGACTGTTTTGTAAAATGCTCAGTTCAAAAACTGCTCTGTTGAAGACATGGCCAGCTTTTGTTAAATTCATTCTTTCTTCCCCACTTCTGTAATGTGCTTGTAAGGGAAAATGATGTCAAGAACTTTTTTAAAAAATTAGCAACCCCGTGCATTAGTAAATTTTCTTCTTAGTAGGGTTTCCCAACATCTCCAGAGATACTATCATGTTGAAGTATACCATTGTTATTGAAATATCAGTACTGTAGTTGCATGCATGTCTAATTGGATGATTTTTGCCAGTGGATCCTTACATTCTTGCATGCTGTTCACTATGTCCTTCTATCATTTTCATTATCTAATACTTCCATCATCCATCACCTTCCACAGACCTCAGATGTGTTGAGATTACAATTCTCAGATGATATTAGGGTGGGGTAGTGATTAACATGGTCAATCTGGATCTCTTTGATTGTGGTTATAGAAGTTTGCTGGGCCAGTTGCTACCTCCCAGTTACCTTTACCCTACCAAGTAGATATGGGAAAAATGAAGGGGAAAGTGTTAGGCCTTGGACAATATACAAGTTATAGATACAAGCAGGCAAGACGACGTGCATAACTAGAGGCAGCCATCTGCTAGACAGCCTTCGCTTACATATCTGATGCTCCTAGAATATAAAGATCTGCAGTTTATAAAGTGAGAGGATGTATTGAATGTGCAAGTTTGAACTGCTAAGTTTAATGTGCAAGTTGAACTGCTAAGTCTCTTGCTCGCTATTCTCCTACCATGCTGCAGAGCATGGCTTTCCAGGTATACATGCCAAAGAGTCTCTTGAGCAAAGATTATATAGTAAAGCCTTGGGGTTTTCCCCTTAATTATTTAATTAATTAAACTGATTGTGGCATATGCCTTTATAGACTAGAGCCTTTTTATTAATTTACAAGGCTACAGTTACAAAAATGTGCTGTAGTGCCAAAATAAATATTTTAAACTTCTGTGGATGTTTTAAATTTCTAAGGGAAGCAGCAACATCTGACAGACTGTCAATGTAATTTAAAATATCCCAGAGTATCCTTGTAAATTTGCTGTTTCTGTTAAGCCAACAGTTCTGAAACAGCATGGGAAAGTTTGTGAACTTCTGGTACAAAGTGTTATTCTAAGGCCAAAAGGAGCATGCATACATATATGTGCACATAGGTACAAGGACATATTAGTGAAACTATAAACTGATTAAATGATAAAATGGTCATAGCTTGTGAATGTATGACTTAACCATAATTTTAATAAAAGGGAAACATTCCCATTACCTGTGTGTAATTTTACTGTGGTGGTACATAATAAGCATATATAAAAGCGCAACAACACTAGGCTAAGGAGGCTGATATACTAAGCCACAATATGATTTATTTGCTTGATCACAGCTTATTCTGTGAAAAAAGTGCATCCTATATGAACTTGGTCAATCTTGTACTGTTAATTCTACAAAGAGCTAATTTTTCTCTAAAGAGGAGTCTTCTTTGGGGGGGGGGGCGGAGTGATCTTGAAACATTTCTGGGCCTGTTTCCTTTGTATTGCTGTTCCCTTTGGTCCAACTTCCTAGTGAGGCTTATGGCCAATGGAAAGTTGTCATTCCTCATACACACCAGTCTTTATGTGATACTTTGACAAACTCTTCAGAACAAACTTCCCCATCTTAAAAAATATGGGGCGGGATAACTTTTTTAAAAAATGCATACTTTTGTATCTTACACTACATGTATGTGTATGTTTAGATATATGGAGAATGCTATAAATTTTATAATTGAATTGCCTGTTGTGAGACATTTAATATGTCTATGCATGAAATGAAAAACAGTATGCACTTTTATATACAGAAAGCTTGGGTGGGGGAAAATTTTGAAAATTATATATAAAGTTTATAGTATATTAAAAAGTATTTGTAATGACTCAGTATGAATTAAAATGGAGAATTAAATGTGTTCTTTACTAATCAAGTCTGGAAGTTCAATATTAATGTTTAGAGATTTATGATAGCCCTGGAGATATAATTATAAAACTGTAATTTCTCCCAGATAAAAAGTGCTTTCTGCAACCTGAAACAAGTTTCCAAATTCTGCACAATCTTTACAAATCTTGATTTTTCTAAGCAATGAGTAATGGGCATCTTTCTAGTGGAGATATATAGAAGTTACATAAGGTAATTTTGACTTAACTTGTATACACAGTACACAATGTGAATTTTACATATTGAGGAAAAAAACAGTAAACTGTGGCAGTCATTAAGGCCTCATGTGACTAGACCTAATTTTTTAATGTTTTTTGCGGCAGTTGTTCAGTAAATACCCCAATTGTTAAGTGAATCACTTTTTTCCAATGGGTGTTTTTTATGTGAAACTGGAAGTGCCAGAAAACAATTTTAAAAAGTCACAAATTATAGTCATGTGACTGCAAAAGTGAGCTGGCTGCCAAATGGATAAAATGTGATCAAGTGATCGTACCAAAGAACAGAGTTGCGGCCATCACAACTTTGAAAAAAGGGCAAAAGGAGCTTTTTGTCTTTCGCAACTTCAATGGTCATTAAGCAACCAGTTATACATCGAGGACTACCTGTATACAAAATATCCATGAAGCTACCACTGGCAATAGAATTTTCTAGCTGGGTAGGCAGATGAAAGATGCCTTTGAAATTGATCAACAGAAAATACACAGAATAGTACCAATAGGAGATGACCAAAGATAAGTCTTTATGATGTTTGGTTAACATTATTGGAAAGATTGCCTCTGCCCCACATAGGGGTTTTCTAGTTTGTAACTAAAATGGCACTGCTCTTTCGCATGGCAGGCGCACCTCTGTGGTGGTGGTATGGATAATCTTCCATCTGATAGGAAAGTCCAGTGAACCAGGAATAGTGTTTCTAATACCCTTCAAAGATTGCACAGGAGGAAAACATTAAGCAAGGGATTGTATAAACTTCAGAATATAGATGAGACCATCCAGATGTTGAGACCAAGAGCCAGTATATCATACTTAGGCAGGTTTTCCCCATCATTATTTTAGAGCACGCTGCCCTCCTTTTTCCCATGGCCACCCCAGTCTCAACCAAATGAACAAAACTCTGCTTCAGGCATTTGATTTTTGCAAAGAAAAGTGTTTTTTTGTCATTTTGTTGTGTACACAGTATACAATGTGAGTTTTACATATTGAGAAAAAAATGTCTCAGACACTAATAATAAACAATAAAAATATATAGGAACATCCAATAATACAGAACACAAATCCCATATTTCAGAACAATACCCTTGAGGCGCGAACAAGATACACAGAAATACACGTTGTAAAAAAGGGGACCTTTCAAGATCCAAATATAAGGGTAGGTGGCGGAGGAGGAAAGTCTCTTTTTGTCACAGGAAATTGAGCTGTACATGTGTGTGAGTGTTGTGTTTGTCCTTGATCAACTCAGAGCTGGGCCTCTCCAATTCTGAGAGCTCAAGTCTGGCTACTCTGTCCCTCCAACTGGGAGCAATGGTTTAGCAAAGTTCTGCATGGAATTGATGGTGCAAGTGTCTTGTCCCACGAAGTGCCAAGGCTCTAGATCTCTCTAAAATTAACCCTGTACTATGAAAGGTTCCCCCAACTTCGTTCTCTTATTTCCCCAAACCCATATTCAGCTAACCCCATTTCCACACTCAGCTCTCTGTCACAATTCATCACTTCTAAGACCAACAGCTACCAGTAATCTGGTTTATTAGGGAAATTTTTTTTAAAAAGAAATCTGAATTGCAAGCTTCAAAGTATCAAAAGAAATCAGGCTATTCTCTTCTTTAAAATCATTCTCTTTGCTTAGGGCTTGTTTACCAGATTTCATCTCCCCCCTCGACCATCCATACTTACATACACACTTGCCAGCGTTGCCTTTTCATCCACAATAAATAAGGAGGGGAGAAGGAGTCAAAATGAGACCCAACAGTACCAAGTACATATATTGGGTACACGGACCTAAGCAACCAAACAGGTCTTAATACATTTCTGTGTTTGCTGACTCAGGGAGAGATTTGTTTGAAGTACGTCTTTATGATGAGAACACCAATACTGAGATGGAATTTATTTCCCTACTATACCTGAAGTACCTTTTCATACCTCCCTCCTTGCTACCCAAGGTTGGAAAAAAAAATACTGGGGCATCCTCTGTAACTCCTGTTGGTTTGGGTAGGCAGAAAGAAATAGCAAATTTTGAAAAGATCAAAGTTTTTCTAAGAACAGAAGGATAATTCAAATGGAGGAATGTATAGTGATGAAGGAGGAATGCAGCTCTAGAGATGGGTTAGGAATAAAGGATGACTTGATTGGAGGGAGTCAAATTCATTCATTCATTCATTCAATTTATACAGCTGCCCACCTGAAACAGTGACTCTAGGTGTGAAAGAGGGAGAAACAGCTATGGAGGGAGAATGAGGTAGACTTTAGCAGGAGGATGGGAATTTGACATAGGAAGATCTACATTCAAGTAAGGGTTTGCTTTGGGAGGTTAGAGGAAGGTCTGGGGTGAGGAATGATAATGGTTGGCAGTCCAGGAAGTCCTTGATTTACAGCTATTCATTTAGTGACCATTCAAAGTTACCCCGGCACTGAAAAAAATGACATATGGCCGTTTTTCACACTTATGACAGTTGCAGGATCTCCACAGTTATGTGATCAAAATTCAGGCGCTTGGCGACTGGCATGCCTTTATGACAATTGCACTGTCCCAGGGAGGCATGTGATCATCATTTGTAACCTTCCCAACTGGCTTCCAACATGCAAGTCAAAGGGGGAAGTCAGATTTGCCTAACAACCAATGATTCACTTAACAACTTCAATGACTACTTAACAAATGTGGTAAAAAAAGGGGACACAACTCATGGAACGACTGCCTTCCTTAGCTCAACTGTGGTCATAAGTTGAGGAGTATCTGTAATTGGAAAAATTACCTGCAGTATGGGGACACACACACACAAGATAATGGATAGCTGATTGAGGGATGGAGAGCCCACTTGGGAGTTGAAGAAAGGGCAATTAAGACAAGATCTTCATCCTCTGGCTCATTAAGAGTTTATTTTATCATTTCAGTTTAGGGTTGCAGAGGAAGCTTTGTTTAGGAGGCAGATTGGGGTAGGGGACACAAAATCTCCCTTCCCCCCTCAGTAACAACAACAATGATAAAAAAATTAACAATCTCCTAATGAAAGTTTCAGTTGAAACCAAGAACATCACAGCTACAGATAAAAGGAGAGAGAGAGAGAGAGAGAGAAACTCCTGCGCATCATTAAGTTCAAGTTAGTCAAATACAATATGATACATAGACTTTTTATCCTATACAGTATATACAGGTGCAGGGAGGGGGGAGCAGAATCCTGCCTTGTCAGACATTATAATATGGGGAGAATGGGGGGGGGAGTTATCCCTCCCTCATAGAAGTGCAGATCTACCACTGGGGAAGGGACTTATCTAAAGTCCTTTATACATTCCTGGCATGATTCAAGGGGGGCTAATTGTAAAATCTGGGGGAGGGGAGGGAAATTTCAGAAGTCTTGCTACAGTCTTGGCAGGTTGCTATGGATGTCATAAGGCTCTCCCCTGCCTATATACTGCTCTCTATTCAGAAAGTATAGGGAAAAGTTCCACATACCCAAATGAGCTAGAATTCTCAATTCAATGGCAAAAAAAGTGAATCCTCCAGCAGTTAATTGCCCCATGGAAACACAACGGGAGGGAGGGAGGGAGAGAAAGAGAGGTTTCTCCAGAAAGAGAGAAAATTGGTGCTGCCAATTATGATTGGGAAAAAGGAGCTTGGCAATAAATATTCCTATTAGAAGCAAAAATAGAAGTGATCGCTATTAGTGTACGGATGGATGGCTTCCCTTCACTCCAAATAAGAGTTATTTGGCAGAGATGGGATTAGAGTTGTTGGAGAACAGCGGTCATACTTCCTGATCAGATTATGGACAAAAGAAGCTAGACACTGTATAAAGGGTGGCCAATGCACCACCTCCCCATGCTCAATTCTCAACTCTCCCTAAGGAGAAGTAAAGTTCTTGATGGAAGAGATGAAGAGTACAACCCCAGGAGAACCTGGTCCTTCTCTTTTCACCAATCTCACTACTGTCAACTCACTCCATGGTGAGAAACCGAGAAGCCTTTCGGCTCTAAATCACACCACACCACCATTCCTATGCCTTTCCAATGAATTCCCCTATTCTCAATCCCCCCTGAGCAGGGGACAAGGCTGTTCAATTAGATATTTATACATTTATATATAAATAATATTTCTCTGTACAGCCAGGGCAAAAGGGAAAGGGGTGTTCCAACCATCCAATTATTTGATGAGAACCCTCCTCAACATGTCCTGTCTGCCACAGCAAACCTCCACCCTCCACCACCATCGCAGAGGCTTGTCCCATGTCCTGTTTAAGGAAAAAGAGAAACCCCCAAGGAGAAGGGGTGATGGTGGTGATGGTGTGAGCTGAATCTGAACTCGTTGCCTGTAATGATACCCCTCGACTTTCCTCTCCCCACTTCCTGCTCTGGCTCTGCAGAGGGGCAGGCGTTAGGCGGACCTTCCTGGGGCGTAGCTCTGATGATGGTGTCACGCGCATTTGCTTTGTGCCTGAGTCAGCAACTCGCTGAAGGAGTCAAACAGTTTCTCCAACCATGGCTGGTTGCGCATGCACTGCTGCACTACCTCCTCCTGGCCCAAATCTTCGTCTTGACCCTCAATTGCTGTTGTCTAGAAAAGAAAAATGAAAAGGTTAAAAAATTAGCCATGAAGTACAAAAATAGCTTTTAAAAAAGCAACCATGATATGGATTTTCTTAAATGAAGGAATTTTCTTCTACAACTCCATCCCTAATATGCAGAAACTGCTTGTAGCTTTCTAGAAAGAGCCAGAATTGATTAGTCTATCTTTGGTACCAAGACTAATAAAAATAATACTAAAGACTGAGACTTTTTAAACATAACACTACAATTTGTAAATTTAATGATTTTCATAAACTGCAGCTTATATATAACACTACTTCTACATATTAGTGATAGGAAGGTTTCTTCATTTAAGAACACCCA